CCACCAATTTAAAGAGAATAGAAGTTAAATGGCATGTTGGAGCAAACAAGGTACCGAATGCACAAACTTCCCACTGACCTAGGCATGTGTCTGTGGTGATAAATTGTACACAATGTTGCCACCAAACTCACTTTTATATTCTTGCCTTAATCTCTTCTGTGGGAAATTGATCTTATCTTCAGGTTCTTTACGTTAATGAGACAGAGGATTAAGTGCTTATCCCAAGAGGTTTTACAAAATTCTGGCTAGGAAACGTTAATCAAATTAAGAAAAAAATGTATTTTTAATGAGAGTAGAAGAAATTACTCTTCTGTTATGTATCATATAATATTATAGCAAACCTCAAATAGATTTCTGAAAAGATTTTAGTGACACCAAACTCAGGAGTTAAACATCAAAAATGCATTCAAGTACCTTTAAAGTGACATTAAACCCTCAGATTTTTTAACATAAAACAATACTGTAATGTGTGCCTTACTGTAATCCATGGTTGTTTCCCTTCTCTTTGCTGCTCTTCCTTTTAAATACTCATGTCTTCTCATGCTCTGCAGAACTTCCCTTTTCAGCTCAGGGCCTCTTCCTGTAGTGCTGGCTCAGATTACAAACCCCTACAAACGGATACACAGACACCGTGTATCCATTCCTGAGACATGTCAGTCTGCTGCAAAACAGAAGTTCTGCAGAGCATGAGAACAGATACAGATTTAAAAGGAAGAGCAGCAAAGAGAAGGGAAACAACCATGGATTACAGTAAGGCGCACATTACAGTATTGTTTTATGTTAAAAAATCTGAGGGTTTAATGTCACTTTAACTATTAACAAAAATGTAGGTTATTTGTGTATCACTCGGCTGCAGATCCTCAAATCATCTCTGAATTGGTTTTGACACTGTCCTACCTTCTGGAGGGTGGCTACTTTTGTTCCCCATGGTCCCTGTGTGTGTTGTAAAGTAGCTACCACTCTGAGCTCATGAGATGCACTACAATCTCAATACAAATTAGTAAGCTAAACATGAGATTCTCGTCCAAGCTTGTATGATTGTTGTCCATCATCGGGAGTAAGTTTGGAGCAGTGGCTACCTTACAACACACTGTGAACTAAGTAGTCCCCCTTCAGAAGAAAGGACAGTGTCAACATGAATTCAGAGATGATTTGAGGATCTACAGTTGAGTGATGCACAAGTAAGCTCAATTTAGTTTAGTGTCACTTTAAGGATGAGACTTAAGGTGTGATTCCAGTTAGAATTCTTTTTTTTTAGGTGTGGATAGAGTTGGAAGGGTTAGAACACCTGTAAAGTTTTTTTTTTTTGCTGTCGGCTTTCCTATTGGTGATATATCCATGCTCTGTGGGACGCAGCTATTAATCATACTTGTGTTGCCTTTTACAACACTTGCTTCCTAATAGCTGTCTGTATGATTAAGCAGACTTAACTTTGCTTCCTAGTCAACTGGTGCCAGACACTGCTAGTATTCTCTGCTTAACGACAGCACATACAAAAGAAAAGATCTGGGATTAGAAATTATTTACAGCTTGTCCTGCACAATATAAAACCATTTTTCTAAATGCATGTAATTCTGGCAGCAAAGGAATGAGAATATGGCAGCTAAAAATTAGTTCTATGCCAGGATGGTTACTTTCAGTGTAAGTGCATTTACACACCATTCCAAAATAGAAGAAAGGGAATAAAGTGCTGCTCTATGGTAGGGTCATCAGGTATGGTAAATTCTGAGTATATCCTATACAGATTTAATTGTTTAACCGCTTGCTCTCCGGAGCAATTTCTTAATATTTGCGCACACAGATAATAAAATCTAAATTTATGGCTACAAAAAAATTTCAAACCCCCAAACAATTATATATTTTCTGAAAGCAGAGGCCCTGTAGAATAAACAACGCTAGTTGCAATGTTTTATGTTGCATGGTATTTAATATATGGGGTCATGTTGGATAAATTGATACCTAACATGCCAAGCCTTAAAATTGTATGTGCCCGTAAAACTGCAAACATTTGCAATACCCAAAATTACCCATAGGCAACGCTTTAAAAGATTTTACTGCTCATCATTAATGGGCCTAGAATTATTGCTCTCACTCTGACGTTCGTTACAATATGGCAGTTTTCTTTTTTGAACATAGGCACACCCGACACGTGTTTGCGTTTGTGCGTGCACGTGGGGGGCGGGGGACTTTAAATATCTTTTTTGCATTTTTACATGTGACTTACATTTTTTACATTTTTTTTTACAGTTACCTTTATTGCTATTACATAGGGGACTAACAAGTTCTTATTCTGTATGTTTGATTGCTGCCCTGTAACATTTCTTTTGTTCTGAATGCTGAATGCAATTCTCAGTATCCATTTATATTTTGTGTTTATGGACACTCCACAGTAGCCCTTCTCTTGTTCTGTATGTTGAATGTAATCCTCAGCATGTTCCTGTTTGTCCGTCTATTTGTTTTCGGGACCTTACAGTACCTTCTCTGTCTTTTTTTAATTAATTTGTTTATTTATCCAGTTGAAGCACATCTGTGTTGCGAGAAATACAGAATGCTATTGCAGACCTCTTTCAGAAAAATCTTGCTTGCTACCTTACTGTACAGACCAGAAACAAGCATGCATATCAGGAAATTCAGAGCAAATTCAGAGCTTGTAACATGTTTCTTATTTCACTCATATTCAGGATATAACATAAAACATGGTCTCATCCCCAGCCCTACACCCCCAAATGGCCTAACCTCTTTCCAGAATCCTGGGATTCTTCTCCACACAGGATTCTGTATAGGTTTGAAGTTGGTTCGGTCATGCACAGCATCCATTTACAGATACTTTTAAAGGATTTGTTAGATAGAAAAAAACTGCGCTAGGAATCAAATAACACTCTAAGTGCAGCTGTGCTTAATAGGCGAGTACACCCAAAATAGGAAAAAAGAAAATAGCACTGCGCTTCAAACTCAAAATATTCCTAAAATGTGAGAACAATTGTATGAATTTTGTATGAATCTTTCCAAAATCGTGCAACACTATTCCTCCACCTTCCACCTTCTCTTGTGCTCAGAGAGAGAAAAAAAGGCTTTCCATAGTGTAGTATGTCAGAATAAAATGTATTTAAAACGATTAAAATGCACTTCAAATTAAAATAAGGCAATTGCACATGGATTGTGTCCACTGGAGCTCCTGTCTCTATGATTGTAATGCTCGCATAGATCCGCCCAGCTGATGCATTTCGTCACTATTGACTTCCTCTGAGGCGACGGTCTGCATAGAAGCATCACAAACACCTTTCCTTTTTTATATCACACATAATGGTAATCAAATTCATGCCACTAGGTGTCACCCCATTCAGGCTGCATTCTAGTGTGTATAATCTCTTAAACCCGTTTCAAACTGGACTCCATAATATATACATACAAATTTTTTCTTACTATCATTAGCACTGCATTGTGCAACACAGCTGTTGTGTATGACACAAAATTGTTTATCACTTTGTGACAATTTCTCACATTTAAAGGATTCACTGTATGAATAGATAGCCTATAAGTCCCATCTATCACTGCGGCAGAGGGATTTGTAGTGGTAGTCACTGCACTTGTAATGCACTGAAACGTACTCCCATCTCTGTAACTGAATGTCCGTAGCTCAGTACAGACAGGGTCTGGGCGGAAGGGTTGGCAGAAGCCAGAGCATTGCACCTTTATCCACTGATCATGGTTGCAGTGCTTTGCAAGCTCCAATGCAAAAAAAATCTTTATACACTTTATAAATGTGTATGCATTTATAATTTTTTTTTGTCAAAGACGGACTCTGCTTTTAAGCCACTGGATCAGCATGGCAGTCAAGGAACTAGTATTTGTAGAAAGGGCGGTCAGCATAGATAGCT